ATTACCCTTTTTTATTAGTCAGCAAGGAACAGTCTAATAATTCACATGGGACACACCATGTGGCATTTCTAGTGTTCCTATGTTTAAATAAGCTTTATAGCTATTTTAAGAAACTGTAGTTGAAAAAGTCTTACATAAAAAATAAAAAATTCTCTCATGATTTTTAAGGTCAATTAAAAGGGAAAGTTAAAGAGAGATGGAAAAGTCAGCAGGTAATACCTTTTTATGTCAAACTCTAAAGAAATGTCATTACCTGTTGGAGGTGAAAACACAGCTTAATTAGCAAATGTGAACAGGTATGTGAACAGACACATGTACAGGCAGTAGATAACATGGGTGTGTGGAGCAGGGGCTGCTGAATGTTTGAAATTGCACTTCTGAGCTTTGAGGCAGATTCCTGCTACTTGCTAGCTGCAATCAGTAGGGGCTGGTTGTAAATGGTGATAACAAACGGTCTAGACAAAAGCAGCATGTTCCGAATCCTCCCATTAATGAAGAGGTGTGAGACAGCAGTACCAGTTAGGAGGCTAATCACGAGTTGTGCTTCTACACATAGAGTGTTTAGACTGGGAAAACCGAGGGCTTTGGGTTATGGAAAGAAGAGCTGCTGATGAAAAGAAGCATCCTGAAGAGAAGAACTGGTGTCAGGGAAGAGAACTGAGTTTGGAAATTGGGTGGAGAAAATGCTGACTAGAAGACAGGCAATTCTGTGACACTGTGCCACTAAAGCCTGTGACATAGATGAACCCCAAAGGGTCCCAGAACAGAGGTCTCGCAGCACTTTTGAAGAAGTTAACTTGCTGACATAAAACCAAAAGTGTGGCAAATTAAGAGCATAGAAAACCAGAAATCTCAAGGGCAAGGCTGCCAGAAGGACTGTGTGCTGTGTGTGAGTAAATTTGGCTTAATTTTATAGTGAGTTTCTAGCGACCTTCCAAATTAGTTACTACAGTTATGAACTGATGGAGAAAGTCCAGTACAGTAACTGTAGAATCCATACCACAAAACACAGAACATGAGAAAAAAAAATGCATTACGATACTTCTGTAAAGCAGGCATAATGACTGGAGGGTTAGGAATTTTCCACAAACTAATGACTAGGTTGAGGCCTGAGATGAAGCCTCCAATTCTTAAGTTCCAAATCGAATCATTAAGAGCTGGGGAATACTGTCCCCATTAGCAACTACTGCATCCCAAATGATTTTAATTCAAATCTACTGAAGCTTGTCAGTTTAAATGCTAAGAGTAATCCTGCACACAAATTCTGTATTTCATATAACATAACGTAGAATGAAGAAAATGTAAGTCCTGTCAAAAGAACAAAAATCTACAATGATATTGACGCAGCAGGCTTGATTTTGCATAACAGATAAATTAAGGCAGCCAGACTTACATTTGGCCTTTCAGACAGGCTTGCCAAAAGCTTATTTACAAAAGTACCAATCTCAAAACATACACAGATTTTCTTCATCCCAGTTTTTTCAACACTTACATTTTCAGCACTGTTTTTCCAATATATTAAAAAAAAAAGTGTCTTTTCTAGGTACTTCAGTGTTTTAATTTTTTTTTTCTTTTTACTTGAACCATTTTAAGATAGTATATTTTATGTCCTGTGGAGTTCAGGTAGTAGGTAGTAAGTAAAATGAAGGCAGTGAGTTTTGCCTGGGATCAATATTAGAAACTGCTCTGCTAAAACATTTTTGGAAAAAACTAGAAAAGTAAAACTATCATTCCTCTTGATCAGGTGTCCAATGAGATGAAGCAACATAACAGAAACAAAGGCTTTCATAAATATAAAACACAAACAAAAGGGTAATTTTAAACAGGGATTTTGAAATGCCTCAGAAAATTAACTTGAGGATCCCTTTTTTCTAAGTGAAGCTAGACAGACTGTCTCATTACAGAGACTGCATACAAGACAAAATACAGAGCTGCAAAGTCAGGCAAGCCTTCGGTAATTGCTGAGCAGTAACTGCAATCTGAAACTTGTCAACATAAATATTTTTTCTTGGGCCCTTCTTAATGTTAATAGAGGGAATTCAAGGATTTAGGTTTGAGAAGTGGATTCCTATCCTAAGACCTGCATGAGTTTACGAACACTTTCTAAGTAAACAAGGTAAAGGAGGAAAAATTTCCCGAGCATTAGCAGAAGAACTGCTATTCATGTTAGCAACAGCATTTAAAATTGCTTAACTCCTTTAACCAGAAGTGGTCAAGCACAGACAAAACAACAAGAAGGCACCAAGTGAACTGGTTGGCAGAACAATGATTTTCTTTGAATCTGAAATATGTCACAGTTAAGGAAAGCAAGACTTGTCTGGCCAAAATTTGTGCAACTAGAATACTAGGCCTTGCAAGTATACTTTGAGGAAAAAAAAAAAAAGAATAAGAATTCAGAAAGGAAGGGTGAATTTAAAGACACACAGGTTGTGAAAGTATTAGGCAGTGTGAAGATGGGGAAAGTGAAGTGAAATGTGACACAGAACAATAGACAAAGGTAGAAGATAAAAGGGGAAGGACTGTGACAGATGATGGTGTAAGAGGAAACGTTATTCCTTCTTGCCGATACGGACCTCAGAGAAACATAGCTTATTTCATTTTTACAATTTCTGATGGTTGACACATCCAGTAAATGTATGGCATATATGGTCAAATTTGCAGGATATCATTCAAAACTTTTGGAAAGAGGTCTTCTGTAATTTATTTTTCTTCTCAGTTCCAGTTGGCTTATGCTTGGACTACAAAATCTATTGGACCATTCTTCCAAATGCAGAACTTTAAGAATATCACCCAATTAAACACTATGACATTTAAGATTAATCTTAGCAGCTAGGGCCTCTAGAGAGAAGCAGGTGAAAGACTTTTTGTTGATATCCATCTATCTTCTTTGACTATTGCAGAGAAATCATAATATTCAAGTCCTGTAAGATGAAAGTTTGTAGAGATCTGAAAAGAAAAAATGACTGATGCATTTCAACAAAAGACCAACATACTTAGTGAAAATCTTGCTTCTTAATGATAGCACCTAAGATACTGTTGAAACTGGCAGACCACAGTAAACTAAATCTACTGAAATTTTTCTTTGATAAATAAATGGAAATGAGAGACAGCTTCCTAAACTTTACAAAATCCAAGGAAAAAAAAGTTGACTTTGTCTTGATTTCTTTAATGCAGTCCCCTAGAGAAGTAGATTTTACTGAAAATCCTAGAGGCAGTTGCAATACCAATACTGGTATCCAAAAATCATAATATAGCTGGCAGAAAATTGGAAGGCTACTAAGAATTAAAAATAAAATAATATTTATTTGATTTAGTTTAAAATAGATGGGATTATTAAGGTATATCAGCTTCAGAAATCTAGAGAAAAAAGTTATCAATCACTATTTTATCAATTTGTTTTGATAGTTAAATGATGGCTGTTCTTTAAGAAATACATGGCTAGAGGCAAAAAAAAAAAAATCATTACCACTGATTAAGAATTCCATATATTGAATTGGCATATTAATTGGTAATATTTGCCATTCAAGTTTGTCTTGGTGATAACGAGACTGTATATGGTGATTTTCACTTAGGATTTCACTTAGGATTTTTAGATGAATGCTTTTCATTTGTTAATGCTGTGCTCCAGCACAATAGGGCCCAATTTGGGTTAGGTCTTCAGATTCTGCCAAGTCAGCAGAATTATAATATTATAGTAGTAGTTATTGCATAAGTGTAATAGACAAAGCTTCCAAATTCAGGAAGACGAGATCTGAAAACTGGAATGCAAGGTGAGGACTGAATAATAGAATATTTTCCTACTACATTTTAATAACTACGTTTTGTAGAATTGACTTCAATTATATCAGCTTGTACATTGTGCTTCATGGTGGGGGTGTTCACAAAACCCACAATCGATCACAATAAAAGTAGCTCACAAAAAAAAAAGCTATATCGTGACTGTTCATTCTTCTCAATTGTCAGTATAGTATCTAAGTAGAACAAATCCATTATACCAGTTCTAAACATCTCGTTTAAAAGTTGTATTAATCATCACTGCAACATATTTGATGTTAGTATAATGTAGCAGGGCTCATGCTTATGTGCACAGGATTTCTTTCCTGAAGTATTTAAAGGAAGACCTTACTCAGTACAATACCTGTCACCTGAAGAGTAGAATCAGAAACACGATGTTGAATTAAAGTGTAATTTTGCAATAAATTTTCAGAAGTTAGACAGAATTAAGTCTCCACAAGAGAACTCAGTGCAGTGCCAAATACATGCAGATCTCTTTTCCCCAAAGTAATGAAAGTACGTTGCATTACACAGTATGACCTTTGGCTCTCACATTTGTCAAAAGTTATAAAAATCTGACTACTGAAATGCTCATTATAAGGACTGATCGAAAGAAGTTTTATTAAACTACTGCAGCTATTTAAAAGTCAAAAAAACCAAACAAAACCCTAACCTGAATGTTGGCATGGTGGCATTTGTGATAAACTGACCAGCTGTTATTGTCTAATAATCCAGGTCATATAAAGAATATTACATTTAGTGCTTTCCTTTCTCTTCTGTCCAACTACAGTAACCTTCTGAAAAATATAAACACTATTTTCTTTAATAGATATGATGGTTAGGAAAAGCAACAGAAAACCAATAGTTCTTGTTCTTCTATAATCAAACCTAAGACAGAAATATAGTAATTAAATGCCAAATACAGCTTATATTTGGCTTGTTCTTCTAATACTCTTTTAAGGCAATATATGTACTATTTTCAAAAATGACATAACAAAGGAAGCAGTTTATAATTCTAAAACTGCAATGTTTGAATGCTGTTCATCTAACACCTATTGCCAGCCAGGCTGAAATACACAGTAAAAAGTAACCACTCGATAGATGCTAAAAAGACCTTGGAAAAAGTAGGTCATCAAGATCAGGTACAAGCAAAATGCACAAACTCTTTCACTCCAAGCACAAGCTTAATAAAACAGTTTTCAAAACAAATGACAATATTGACAGACCTGTGGAGGAACCTGCCTCCTTTCTTGGTCAGGGGATGTTACATACACAGCTTGTGTATATGCGTAACTTTTGAACCGCGGTTTAGGAGAAGGTGAAGGTCCCTGGGGTACACTGACTGTGATCTACGAATAAGAAATTAGAGGTGGAAAGAACAGACATATGGATAGGAGCATGGATTATAGAAGTAAAGTAATGATTTTAAGAGTAAGTGAAGAAAAACAGTAGGAAGGTCATCACCAGTTGTATTTTTCAAGGACAGTGTTGGTATTCGGCAGTCAAAATTGGGATGGTGTTAAGGAAAACTCTCATTTAATCTGACATCTTTTCCAAAAGCAACAAACTGTCAGGACTCAATACTGGCAGAATACAAATGTAAATTAAAGGTTCTTTATAATTTATAAGCAAAGGCTCAAAAAGTGATCTTGTAGTAAAACCTGAATAAAAAGAGCCAATACTCATCTGCTCAGTACTCTAAAAGAGACTGAGCATCCCAAAAGCAATCTATAGATTGACAGACAGACAAAGCAAGATACAGATCAGAGAAGTACACTAGGCCTAAAATCCACTAAACACTTCAGCAGAGACTGATGATTTCAGTCAAAAACATAACCGACATAGCAAGCATATATTAATTCCAAGTATTACAGGAGCCTTTTGAGAGGCCAACCGTGAGCTGAGAACATATGATCTTAAAATATGAGTCAGTATAAATAAAATGCTAAAAAATTAAAAATGTATCATGAATTTGGAGAAATGTCAACTGCTATTCTCTAAAAAAGGTAAAAAATTTTCTGCATGTCTGTGTTTAAATGTGAAAGCTCCCCCAGTTTCTGTGTTCTTCCTTGTGGTGCCCTTCCACAATCAAAACACACAGTGCTGTAAAAAACAAGCGCAAAGCACTTATTTGCTGAAAAGTTACTTTTAAAACAGTCTGGTGCAAGGTGAAAAGCTGTACGGAAGTACAGTTCATGCAGACAAGTGCATTTGACTTGCCTGTGGTGAAGAGACTTTGTTCATTGTGCTCATGCTTTTTTTTGCCTTCCGTTGGCCATCTAACATCAAACTTACGGGGTAGGTAAGGGAAACCACCACTTTTAGAGCAGCAAGATGAAAGTGAAAAGGGAAACAACTCACTTCTTGTGAAAAACGCTGTTGATGATGTACTTGTATGTGCTCTTCTTTAGTGACCCTTGAGTGTCGTGGCAACATCTCCACCTCCCTGATGGCTTCCATGGTGACTTGCTGGGGCAGAACTTGGAAGAGTGAAGTCACATACATTAAGATGGACTTCTTGTCTGGATAGGTAGTTGCAACATCTGGAAGGCAAATTAACATGCATCATTTCGGTTTCCACATTAGACATGACAAATAGCCAATCAACTTCATGGGAAGTTGATAGGCTAATGAGCAATCTATTGTCCACCTGAGTTCTCTAGAGACTAATTAGAACCTTACAATCAGTTCCAAAATTACAGACTAAACTTGCATATCAATGAGAAGGAGCTAAAGTTTATAAAGGTAACTTATCTCATTCAGCATGAACTTTCCATCTATATTTCGTTAGTCAAAATGCACATAGCATAAAATTTGACACTGTGATCCTCATTAAGCAGGACCAGACATAGGAAAAAGTGTATTTTCTTGTGCTGTATAAATACTTCAGTTAGAAAAAGTAAGAACAAGCTTATTTTCAAAGTCATGCCTTGTACATTCTCTTCACATCATTTATTTAATCATTGGAAGCGACAATGACATAGGAAAAAGAAATTACAGGGTTTTCTGGTGAATGGATTCATACGAAACTACTGAAGCCAACACCTAATATAGTTATATAGCTTTTATATTCTACTTAGTCTTATGTTCTTCATGAAGTCTGTGGAACATCTAAGGAACATGGTATTCACAGACATTAAAATATGTAATAGAACAACTCTTTTAAATAAAGCCCTGTAAAATCTCTGTGGACTTCAGCAGTAAGCACAAGAAACTTTACGTGAACATGACGATTTCAGGTTTTGCACGTAGCCATGATATACATCAGCAGAAAAAGTGGTGTATTTGACTCAACATTTCAGGTCAATAACAATTTGTAAAAATGTAAGGCATGTGGCAGCTCTTTGAAGTAGTTACTTTGTTATTTGGCATTGACATTTATCTACTACACTCAGTCTAGTGAATCAAGATGTAAAAAGACTGTAGTACAAGAAATTTATCATTAATTCCATAAGTGTTTTAACATGAGTGCTGGCAGAAAGCCAAGAGCTATGAGTTTTTACTGTCCTAGATCAATCCTGGCTTAGCTAAGATTTCATTTAAGGGGGAAAATAAAAAAAAAAAAAAAAAAAAAGAAAACAATTAATAGATTCTGGCAGACTCAATAATCCTACAGGGTGGCATCTCATTCTCTCTTCCTAGAATGTAGAATACATGAAGGAAGGCACCTTACGTTAAAAGCTTCACATATATTTAGAAATCAAGAAAAGACATCCTATTCAATATTTTTAGTTTGACTTTCTGACCTATCTCCATACATTTGTTTTATACATCATAAAAGAGAGCTGAAGGTTTAGTTCTACTTAGAATTGGCTCAAAAAAATGGCATGTTCCCTCCAACATGCCCACCACCACAAGATTTATTGTCTCAGTGGCCACAGTATATAGAATATGCTCATTTAAAAAAAAAAAAACCCAAAACAACATGACTTTCCCAAATCAAGTCACACTACAGCCCTCAGTCTCCACAGGCTTCACTTCTGTGATAAAATTCAGTCCAGGAAGTATTTTGCTATCATCATCTTCTTGTCTTCTCATTAATATTTTAATACCATTTTGTTATACTCAGTGTCCACTAGTAATTGATGTTTACAAGAATATCCATGCCTTTACACAGGCAAGAATACACACTGAAAGAACAGACATTAGCGCCAGCTGTGATTTTTCCATTTGTTGTTCATTATTTTCCTTTTCAAAATGTTCTGGTAATCAAATAGGAAAACCTTATCATTTATCTACACAAATATCTCACACAATAAATAAAGCAAGTACCTTGCAAACAATATACATGCCAAAAATTGTTTACCCCTTCTATCTGACAAATAAAAAGTATATATGCAGCTGTCAGAATCCACCAGCAAATAGGAAAAGATTTAATTATTTAATCACAACAAATAGCTAAACAACCATTGTTGCAAAGCCTGGAATATCAATCTGTCTCTCAAAATTCTTTTTTGCAGGCTCTTGAATTATCAGAGCAGGAATAACTTCTGTTATCCTGTCCTATGCCTTTGCCTTCTTATTTTTTTCTGTTTGACTCTTAGTCTAACATATTGTCTTTACTACCCATTAAGACAGATGGATATTTGAAGTCCTAGTAGTTAGGCAGTGAATAAATTAAAATTCAAGCACTTGCTTGCAAGGAAGTTCATTAATTTCTTGGAAACATGTCTGCTTTCATTTCTGGGGGCAAAATATCTGTCAAGCCAACCTACACCTTCTAAAAACTAATCTCCAACTCTCAGAAAATATGGAAGATATTTAAGAAAATTAAGTCAACGTCTGTAGACTATGCCATTATTCAGATATTGGTTTTGAGAGAAAAAGGAAAAACAAACAAAGGAGTTAAGGAATTTTTTTCAAAACCAAGGTATCTTCTCTAAATTCAGCTCAGAAGCAATAATTTCTGAATATTTTCATCCATTTTCTTGATAATGACTTTCCAGGATAGGACTGAAAAGAATAAATAAGAATAAAAACAAATCAGAGTACAAGTCAGAAGAGAGTTTAAAATGGGAAGCATTGTAACATCAGGACAAATTATATTATTAACATGTTCATCAATCAAGAATCTGAAAGACTTTGGAGAGCTCTGAAAACCATTCCAGCTCTTTAAGAAGATACAGTTGTATAAAATTATTGGAAGTTTCCAGCACAAATTTTCCAGCTATTGAAAGGAATCTTCCACCGTGGAAAACTTTATGCTGACAGATTAATATTTTTCAGAAGAAAACAGTGACTTTCTGGTGCTCAAACTGAAATACGTCACATGAAGCATATTGTTCACAGAACTGGTTTTTGATACATCTTGTGATCCATAGGCTTACTTATTAGGACATGTGGTTTCTTTAAGCATCTTCTATAGTGAAAGAAACAAAACTCCGTTGTAGAATACAGAACAAGGCCTGACATTACATGCTCCCCCTGACAAAACAGTCACACACACTGACAATTTAGAGATATTAGTCTCTCCAGGGGAGGTCTCCAGTCAAATTGAGAAAGTAAAGAGAAATAAAACAAAACACTTCTTCTAATACACAGGCTGAAAAACCTGTCTGATACTAAGGAGACACCAGAAGAGCTAGAATTCAACCATGAATTTTAACATATGATAACATCCTGTTCATCTAGAGACACAGCTACTTGGTAACAAGTCCCAAAAAGAGCAAGAAGAATCTGGTTTCACCACAGAACTTTAAAACCATGAAATAAGTACCAATCCACCCCTGTTTAAGTGCTGCTACCTTTAAAGGGTTATTACAGGTTTAATTCAGGAAGCAATTTTCCTGATAAAGGTTCACTACAGCTTGATTTTTATTAGCAAATATTCTTCATTTTCTGATGAACATAACTACAAGTTTGTTTGTTGAGGATGGGTGACTACAATAAACCTGAAATGTTTTGAAACCAATTTTTTTTCTGTAGGATGCAGTGCAAAAAAGTAGATAAATTAAAAAAAAAAAAAGTCAAACTCTTCAGAAAGTGATCCACCAGCCAATTTTTGTAAGCCTTGCAGTTCACAAGTGGTTTGTTCTTGCATCCAGGTGTTCTGTCAATGAGCAATTCCCTGCCAGCATTCCCAGTTCTCGTGGAAAGAAGCATTTTTAAGAGATGAGTGAAAGTGAGGATGTTATAAAACACCTAAATAAGCTTCATATCAAAAAGTACTACACAGGTCTACCAACAAGAACAAAGTCCAGCATTTTGTTATAGAGTGTTACATTATGTACACAGAGGGCAAATTACAAGCATTCGTGCAAATGTTGCTTCCCATTTTCAAATACATGTCTACTTATAATATAGCCAGTCCTATTTACTACTATTTTGCTTTCTCAAAGCTTTGACCAAATAACAGTTCTGACACTATTTGTGCTGATTCCACTCACTCTTTTTATCAAACTAGTAGCAAAGTAACTTTGAAAGAAGAAAGCTTAAATGCCTGCCACATTGCCAGAAAAATTATATTACTGTACATAAATTGCTGATGTGGTTTCTTTACATTGAGACATAAATTCTGAAACATACTTTACCTTATACAGTCCTGAGAAGCAAGATAAGACTTGAGCCCTAAATATACAAGAAATCTTTTGTCCTCAAAAGAGGTAGGTAATCACAAAGTAGAAAACACAGAAAACTAACTTTTAAATCCTAGACATCACCTAAGTCTGTTGGCTTCCATGATAACAGTAATAATTAAAAAATCCCAATATTTTAATATTACGTCCTGCTGTCCCACGAGATTTTAAAAACCATACTAAAAAACTCCCATTGCTCTCCCTTCCATAACACTAAGGGAGATTCTCAAAATTGATTTGAATTTTCAGAGATTACGCATCTGTTTTCCCTGATAAATGAAGCATGTTGTTTTTTCTTCTCTCAAAGACATTTTTCATTTTAAGGCTTATTAATGATACTAACACAACATTAACATTTATTAGAATTTCTGAAAACAATCCTTCTGCTGTTTCCAAATGCATCTGTTTAGAAGGGAGTTAAAAGGTTCACGGCAGATAAGCTAACTGATTATTGACAGAATCTAACTGATACGTAAAAGATTAGCTTCTACAACATAAACTCATTACAGGAGGGATTTCAATGTTTGTACGGCAACTCTCACTGTGGCACCAAACTCAACTGCAGAATCTAAGATGAGGGCAAAGTAAAAGTATTTAAAAATGTACAAAGACAACTTACATGTTATTTTTTTTTATTTATTTTGCATTTTAGCCTCAAGAACAAGGGTGAACTTTTCAAAACACATTCAAATGCCTGTGATAATCTGTCTAAGGATCACCAAAACGCTTTGAATGACCTTCCATAAAACCTAAGTCATGCACTTTGTTCACATTTTGATTTGGACGAACCTAAGTCTGCAGTTGAAACTGTACATAAGTGTATGAGACTGTACTAGTAAAAACTTAACTGCTTGGTCTTAAATAGCAAGAAAACCAAGTAAGATTTCATTCCCAGATGGATGCATTAGAGTTGCCCCAGCACGGATAAAGAGATCTTCAAAACACTACCCCCAAAACTAAGAAAAGAA